CCCTCCTGTCTACAAGCCTCTCACCCCATTCCCTGTATGTCAAGCTTCAAACGAGTCTATTAAGGTCTCAATCTTAAATATGACTAGACAGTCAAGGATCAAATAACCAAGAAGGTACTTGAGGAAACCTTCTGTAACAGGTTGAATGGTGGCCCCTAACAAGATACATCCATGTCCTAATTTCCAGAACCTGTGAATATGACCCTATATGGCAAAAGATGTGATTATGTTAAGGATCTTAAGGAGTGGTTTATCCTGGATTACCTGGGCGGTCCCTAAATGCAATCACATGTATCCTTATGGGGCACAAACACATGGAGGGGAGCCCGCACAGATGAGGAGGAGGCCATGTGACCACGGATGCAGAGACTGCAGTGATGTGACCACAAGTCAAGGAATGCTGACGGATCCCAGAAGTTGGAAGCGGCAAAGCATGGATTCTCCCCTAGAACTTCCTGAGGGAGTACAGCCCTATCAACACCTTGATTTCTGGCTTCTGGAACTGTGAAAGAATACATTTCTGTTGTTTCAAGCCACCCAGTTTGTGGTCATTTGTTACAGCAGCAGTAGGAAACCGATACACTGTCTAAGGTAGAAGTTGGAGACCTACACAAGCAAGCAGGGAAACGGAACTTGAAGGGAAGAGAGAAAGCAGAAGAAAACTTCGCATACCATAAGGAGCCCCGGTGGTGCATTGGTTAAAGCACTTGGCTGCTAGCCTGAAGGTCAGCGGTGCGAACCCACCAGCCGCTCCATGGGAGAGAAGACCCGGCAGTCTGCTCCTGTAAAGATTACAGCCTAGGAAACCCTATGGGGCAGTTCTACCTGTCCTGTACGGTCGCTATGAGTCAGAATTGACTCAACGGCACATGACAACAACATGTACTTTTCATGGTAAGCTATTGTAGGTCATGACCCTTTAAAATAAAGATTTATACAAGAAAGAAGACATGAGATTCAAGAACAGAAGATCCAACATAGAAAAGAGATAAGAAGAACTCACAGGCTGACGGCAAAGGGAAGGGAGTCCCAGCATAACAGCGCGCTTCAGGCCTGGAGGGCAACCATTTCTGACCAGAGCAGGAGCGCAGCAGGGAAAAGAACTGATCTAAAATTGATGCATCGAGAGATAGCAATGTACACAAATCATTTAGAAGAAACAGCTAATCAAAATGACAGTAATTGCTCCTAAAGATTGGGCTGGAGCAAGGAAGAGGAGCAGAAGATTGCTACTTTTTTTTTTTATAAGACTTTTAGCTATAGTTGACTTTTTAAGTTATTTTTATGAAATACTTCAAACACCCTTATTATTTCTTTAGCATGCACATTTAAAACGTTTTTAATATGTATTTGCAAAGTAACTTCCAGAAAGAGGTTTCCATTTATACTTCCACCTGCAATGAATGAAAATGCCTATGTTACTCCACTCTTGCCAACATTGAATATTATACTATATATACTCTTGGCCGACATGATACACAAAACGTTATTTTACTGTTGACTTAATTTGCCTTTTGGATTACTATGAGGTTTGGCATTTAAAAATATATTTGTTGACCATTTGATCGTCATCTTTTATAGATTACCTGTTCATGTCCTTCGTTCATTTATTTCTATTAGGATGTTCATCTCACCCATATTAAATAAAAGTGAAAGAATGTTTATGAGAACATTGGTTTTGAACAGCCAAGTAGATGAGAACAACCTGAACTTTCAGCTACGGGTACTGATGCACTAAATTACTGTACCGTTAAATGCCATTCAGCTACTATAGTGTTTGGACATGTCGTCAGGAGGGATCAGTCCCTGGAGAAGGACATCCTGCTTGGTAAAGTACAGGGTCCGCAAAAAAGAGGAAGACCCTCAACGAGATGGATTGACACAGTGGCTGCAACAATGGGCTCAGGCATAATAACAATGATTGCGAGCATGGAGCAGGACGGGGCAGTGTCTCGTTCTGCTGTGCAGAGGGTCGCTATGAGTCAGAACGGACTTGAGGGCACCCAACAATAACAATAACAACTATAGTGTTGCTATAGAAATGCGACTATTCACGTGAAAATATGATTACAATATAACACAGGAAAAATAAACAAATTAAAAACAGTGTGTCCAATTAGGAGCCATTCTTATGTAACATGTAATGATATGACAAACATATATACAGCACTTACTGTGTACCAGGCCCTTAACAAATACCACAGCTCTAGGAAGTAGGCTCTGTTATCACCCCTGTTTTACTGAAAATGAAACTGGAGCACAGGGAAATTGTGAAACTTGCTCCAAGTCACACAGCCAGAGAGTGGGGGAGCCGGAATTTAAATCCCAGCCGTCTGTCTCCAAATCTGTGCTATTAACCACCCTGCAATCTGCCTCTGTACGTGCCAACGCTTAGAAAATGACATAGGCGTATATACACCAAAGAGCAGATACACCATATTGTCTCTGAGTGGGGGGGGGGGTAGGCAATTGTTATGTTCTTTTTGCTTGTATGGGTTTCTAATTTTTTCCGTAATAAGTTTGTAATTCTACTGCAATTTAAAAATATTAAAAAACTGCATTTTGAAAAACAAAATATATTCTCTTAACCTATCAGATAGGACCTATTTTAGCGAGCGGGAAAAAGAGGAGACCTGGTTTCTAGTCCCAACTGTCTCACTCATGGCACATAGTAAGTGCTCAATAAAACAAGTGTTCACTGATCATCTACTTTGGTGTCAGACAGTATACTTGAAGCAATACGTGCTATTACTATTACTATTGTCAGGATTAACTGTGCAACCTTAAGTAAGTCAGCAAGCCTCTCTGTGCCCCAGTAAATGAGATTAGCCTGAAGATAACAATGGCAGCTGTGGTTTGACTGAACCATGCGAATGGGGTGATCCTGCTAAAGGTTACTGGCCATTTTAGGAGGGAACGAAGGAGGGAGTATTTGTCTTTTAAGAGACTATTCAGAAAAGGCATAAAACCTGAACTACACAGAGGCCCCTCCACGCCATGGGAAGGGTTTTTCTGAAGTTAGAGTGTTGGAGTTGTGGATGGGATTCTGAGCATGAAGTTGCTGAGTCCCTCCCTCCACATAACGAGTGACTGTTTCCCTGCCCGTCAATGGGGCTGAGAGTGTAAGCAGGTGAGGACAGAGAAAGGGTGAAGGGGCGGGTTTGGGGGTGGGTAACTGACTTGGAGACATCACCAGGCAAGGCTTAACCAGCCCGGTGGAAGTAACTTGCTCTGTATCTTCAAGATGCCCTGGGGAAACTAAACCAATACAATTGGCTTAAACCGCAGCACCCTTTACTCAGAATTCAACAGAGCTGGTTCATGGTTGATTTTTCCTCCCTCTTTCCATTCTCCCTTCCTTTCTGGACCTCATCAATCCTGCCCGAACTCCAGCCTCAACAAAGCTAACACCATTGTCCATGGTCTTTGAACCTGGATCCCTCATTCACCCCATTCTCAGACTTTAGCTTTCTGTTCCCCTCCACTGCTGACCCACGGCTGACCCAACAAGATGCCACCCCCCAAATCCGCAACCAGGGGCAAGATCTGATACTTGTCCCTGATCCCTGGGAATGATCTGATACTTGACCCTGGTCCCTGGGAATGATGTGATACTTGTCCCTGGTCCCTGGGAATGATGTGATACTTGACCCT